TGTCCCTCAGCTCTTCAGCTCAAGGCTAGCGCTCTACCACTTGAGCTACAGTGCCACTTCCGGTTTTCTGGTGGTTTATTGGAGATAGGAGTCTCATGGTCTCTCCTGCCCGGGCTGGCTTTGAACAGCGATCCTCAGATCTCAGCCTCCTGAGTAGCTAGGATTACAGGCATGAGCCACCAGCGCCCGGCTTACTGGCAGAAATTTTTAAAACTTCCTATGTGATGCCAATATTCACCCAAGTGCCAGTGTTTCTTAAACTTAAGTGTGAACGGAAATCACCTGGGGATCTTGTCACACAATAGGTCTAATTCAGGATTAAGACTGGTCTGAGATTCTGTGTTTCTAACAAGTTTTCAGGTGATGGCAGTGCTGTCGGCCTGGAAACCACATTTTGGGTAGCAATGAGATAGAGCTACACTGTCCAACTGGTGGCCACTAGTCATATGAGGCTATTTAAGTTTTAACTTAATTAAAAAATTCAACTCCTTGGTTACATAGAACACATTTCAAGTGTCAGTAGCCTGGCTAGTGGCTACCATATTAGACCACATGGCAGGCTCCATTGAACAGTAACCATTAAATTGCTAAGAGGATCAAGTTGAAAGCAAGAGAATAATTATTTGCCTTACAAGGAATTTACTTGGATTTTTAGGTGATAGTTTAAAGTTGGAGTAGATGATTCTGGATAGAATTGTTACCAGTGGGAATTAAGTATGTTCAGTAAATAGTCAAATAATACAAAATGAACAGGGGCACAAATCAAAGACTACTAAGAATTTTAAAAAAGTGAAACAGGCACAAGAAGCAAGTAATATATTTAGGGAAAGGGTGGAGTGAGAAATCATAAAGATACAAGATAGAAAATGACTGGAAATACATCAGGAAAAGGACCAGAGAATTTAGGTCCAGATAATTATTGATTGTGGCCAATCAATAACAAAATATAATTATTAAAGCATCATTGTAAACACAGCATTGGCCAGAAACAATTATCTGGCCCCTAGCTTCCATTTCTATTGTTCCAACTCAAACAGAATTCAGATTATACTTACAAAAAATACCTAAACATCAAAAAATGATACTAAGGATGAGAAGGGAACAAAATATTAAAAGGCTTAATATTACGGACAACCACAGTGAAGATACTACTCAGCAAAACACTTCATATATGCAAAGCATAATTTTACCAACCTTCTAACAGTCAAAATTGAGGCTAACCTAAAGCAAGAATTTAGGCTAGATTAAGAAAAGAAAAAAAAACACAAAACCTTAAGACTCAGAATGTAGCTCAGTGCTTGCCTAACATGCAGGCAGGCCTGGGTTCAAACTCCAGTACCACTGAACAACAACAACAACAAAAACAACTTCAGCACAAAAAGATGTTAGCACAGACTCAAGGCCTAAATAGATTATAAAGATAATGGGCGTTTTGGAAAAGCAATCATCTTGGCTTAGGAATAGAGGCAAATGCAAGATACATGAGTGACATAATGCTTCTTCTAGTACTAATTCTTCCAAATGTTGGACTATAAAACATCTTCATTCAACATAGCTGAGAGAGGCAATGTTCTCCCTCGGTGGAACCACTAATGGGTCAGTAAAAGATAAGCAGCATCTATTGTTGGTTCTAGGAGGCTGGAGCTATTCACAGAGCTCCCACCAAACACCAACAATCCTTTCCATGTCTGCTGTTTGGAAAATGTGGCCAAGTCTAAGTAGGTTACTTTACCTTTGGCTTACTGATGTTTGGGGTGGACAGTTCCCTTTCAGAGATGGTGGTACAATCAGCAACATTCCTGATCTATAACCCTCTAGATGCCATCAGAAGTTGGTCCCCAAAGCACACTGCCTAGATTAAATAGTGTCGTCACTGAATGGTAAGAAAACATACTAATTATATTTTCATTAGAAAATTAGAAGGAAATAGGCAGGGCACAGTGGCTCAAGCCTATAATTCTGGCAACTTGGGATGCAGAGACCAGATGACTAGGCCTAAGGCCAGCATAGCATACAAGTTTAGGAGACTTTATCTCAACCAATAGCTAGGTATGGTGCTAGATACCTGTCATTCCAAGTTAACAGGGGAAGTACAATGGCTGGGTACAGTGGTGCACACCTGTTATCCCTGTACAAATTGGAAGATCTCAGTCCACGCTGACCTAAATATAAAGTGAGACCCAATCAGGAAAATGAGCAACAAAATAAAGGGGCTGGTAGAGTAGCTTGAATGGTAGAGTACCTGTCTTGCAAATGAGGCCCTGAATTCAATCTACAGTACTACTAAAATTATATAAGGGGCTCCCAATAATCTTTTCTTTTTTAAAAACAATTAGCCTTTAGAAACAATAAAGCACAGAAATAGCAAGTTTTGAATTTCTTTGGAAAAGCTTTATAAACTGAAAAGTTCTAAAATAGTATTAAGTTAAATAGTATTAAATTAAACTAACTTAATTATAAAAATTAAAAACCTCACTTCGGTAGTGTCAATGTCTCCCTGTAATTTTTATTTTGCTGTTTGTTTCATTAAAGTTGCTTTTAATAGAAAAGAATGGTAATCTCATTAAAGTACTTCCTTCAGTGTTAAACCATTAAATAAAGCAAACATCTAGTTCCAAACTACTAACGTATTTTATGTAAACACACATATAAATTTGCATGTGTAATCTCTTAGGAGGCAAGCTAAATTCCTACCTGTGAATATATTTATTGTTCTTGAAACATCTGATTTTTGGCAGTAATAAAAGCCTAGCCTTGCTAATTTGGTTCAGCAGTCACAGTAGCTTATAAAGTGATTTTTGTCCACTAGAGGGAACCCTGCTTTGTCATACCATTCCATAAACAAATAGAAGCATCAGAGAGAACAAAATAGAAAAGCGTGAGAAACATTCATATCATGCATAAAGTGTGGGAGTGCACATGTGTTGAATGTCAGGGAGGGTAGGGAAGAGGGCAGGAACACAATAAAACTCTCCCCAAATGCCTTCTGGGTCACCTTTTTACATGAGGGAAAAACACTGATAGCATTGCAAAGCATTCCTTTTCCTTGTGCAAAATAAATAAAAGGGAGTGTCATATTTTAGGTAGTACCTTAAAAAACACTTTTTTATAAAAGCCATTAAGATTGCTCTGAATCTTTAAAAAAAATGCTTGTTTCTTTAGTAGTCAGAACTACTAGCCTGTGTTCATAAGCTATTATTGGTACCTAGAATTGTCTGCTTAGCCTAAAACAAAAAACAATATCATTATTGGAACACTGTCATTCTTTTTCTCTTTGGAGGAAGTACTGGATTTGAGGTAAGGGTCTCACACTTGGTAGGCAGGTACTCTACCAATTGAGCCTTTTTTGCTTTAGGGATTTTTCAGATAAGGTCTTTTTTTTTTTTTTTTTTTGTCGGCCGTGGGGCTTGAACTCTGGGCCTGGGCACTGTCCCTCAGCTCTTCAGCTCAAGGGGAGCGCTCTACCACTTGAGCTACAGCGCCACTTCCGGTTTTCTGGTGGTTTATTGGAGATAGGAGTCTCACAGTCTTTCCTACCCGGGCTGGCTTTGAACCGCAATCCTCAGATCTCAGCCTCCTGAGTAGCTAGGATTACAGGCGTGAGCCACCAGCACCCGGCTGAGATAAGGTCTTATACTATTTGCCTAAGCTGGCTTTAGACTGAGATCCTTCTACCATCATCTCCATCTCCCTAATAGCTGGGGTTATAAATATGAGCCACCATGCCTGGCCAAATCTATCGCGTTCGTGCGTGCGTGCATGCATGCGTGTGTGCGTGCTGTGTGGTGTGTGTGTGTGGTGGAACATGGGGCTTGAACTTGGGGCGTGTGTGTGTGTGTGTGTGTGGTGGTACATAGGGCTTGAACTTGGGGCCTGGGTGCTGTCTCTAAGCTATTTTTGCTCAAGGCAATCACTCTACCACTTTGAGCCACAGAGTTTTCAGGTGGTTAATTGAAAATAAGAGTCTTACAGTCTCAGACTTTTCTGCCAGATTGGCTTTGAACAGTGATTCCAGATCTCAGCCTCTTAAGTAACTAGGATTATAGGCATGAGCCACCAACACTGGGCTAAAATATTTTATATTTTATTTTATTTTATTGCCAGACATGGGGCTTGAACTCAAGAGCTCAGGCACTGTCACTGAGTTCTTTTGCTCAAGGCTACTGCTCTACCACTTTGAGCCATAGCACTATTAAATTTGTCATTCTTTAATAGTTCTTAAGATCATAATTAGTCATAGTAGTACATGCTTATATTCCCAGCACTCAAGAGGGGAGATAAGAAGATCAGGGAGGGACCGTCCTGGTTGCATAGACCTTGTCTCAAAAAAAAGAAAAAGTCATTAAAATTAATGCTCATAAGAATCATAGATAAAGCTTTAAGGCAGCTATAAAATAGAAAATTCTTGAAATTGGGACAAATCAGCTAGTTTGTTTTTGAGACAGGATCTTGTTATGTAACCAACCCTAGCTGGCCTCAAATTCTCTTTCCTTCTTCCTCTGCCACCTATGTGCTGGTATTACAGGCCTGCATTACCATGCCGGGTAGGTCTTTATTGTTCAAACATTTTGCTGACTACAAAACAGTGAAGGTTCATTACAGAAACAAAATGCAGTAAGCTTCCAAAGGAAACGTTTTAAATCAGTTTAACCTCTATTCAGAATTGCAATGATGGGTATATTACATCCATCTGGTTTTTTATGTATATAACTATTCACTTTTCACCTATAAAGTTATTTTCACTTCATATCTCTTTGTAAGGGTATATACATTCTTACAGGGAATAAACACATTTATGTATATATAGTTTTAATGATGGTAATATTTCATTGCATGTATTGTACTATAATTTACTTGAACATTTAACATGTTTTAGAGCATACCCTCATGGTTGTTTCTCATTGTTCATTGAGGTGAGCTCTTCAAAGGGTCCCCTCTTCCTATCAGATGTTGCCACAGAATCAGCTCTGATGCTTCCTCAAGCAAGCCTCAGCAACAAACCACACAACCTGGACAAAGCTCAAAGTCCAGACTGAGTTCTCCCACTGCAGAAGCCCTCGTGACAAAATGGCTTCTGTCCTCCTCGCGGGTACCTATCTTCTGCATCACCATAACAGAATCCTCACAGTGCTTCTTGCTTGTCTGAAATGTTTGGCTTTCTGGTTCTCACATACATCCTGATTGTGTAGGTGTAGGGGGAGACTTCCCAAACAACCCCCAGCCTTCAACTGGTATTTCAAAAACACATAGGCCTTTATTTTGACAAAGAAAAATTCCTGTTACTGCAGAAACTCTGTCCAACTCCACTTCCAGTGCTGGAAGCAAGCAGGCTTGCCACAGCATCCTGATGATTTAAAAAAAAAAAAATGCCTATCTTCCCTCTGACTCAGAAAGCATGGTACCCACCACAAGGGTTAGTGGCCTAATTCTTTATTATCTTCCCTATCCACATTCATCACAAGACACCCTGCCCAGGAACGCAAGAATGAGAGGTTATTGTTAAAAGAGAATGAATGAGACAATGTGAGTTCTGTTCTTTTGACCTGACAATGTGACCAAGGCAGGGGCACTGTGACCCAGGAGGGCTCCAGTAAGCTTCCATGGTCATGGCTGCCACTTTGTGCTGAGGAAAAATGATCCTAGCTCAGGAGGCTCCAAGCGCAGGTCCCTCACCCTCAGGAGTATGAGAATAGCAGAACTCAAGCTTGCTCCCAGTGGACCGATCCAATTTTTGGCTCTCCTTTCCCATCCCAGATATCCCAGAGATGCAAGGCATGATCCGTTTTTGGTTCCTTAAGATATCAATTGTGAAGCTGGGAGCCAGTGGCTTACTCCTGTAATCCTAGCTCTCAGAGCCTGAGATCTGAACATCTTGGTTCAAAGCCAGCATGGGCAGAAAAGTCACTGAGACTCTTCTCTCCAATTAACAAGCAAAGCCAGAAGTGGAGATGTGCTCCATTGGTAGAACACCAACCTTGAGTGAAAAAACTAAGGGATGGCACCGAGGCCCTGAGGTCAAGCCCAGCACTGTCATGCACACAGATGCGCGTCGGTGTGCGCGCGCGCGCGCGCACACACACATACACACACACACATGCATGCATGCACACATATACACACAAAATATGAATTGTGATGAATTTAGGAAGGCCATCTGCATGAGCAGCTTGGGAGGAATCTAAGCTGCTAAGATCCTTGAATCATAGCACACAGTAACCATCCAGTCCTGTCAAGAACTATCCTGTTCCTCAGGCACTCCACTTCTTTGGAGATGTTTATGAAAGTCAGAGGCATTCTTGTTCATTGAGCTGGTACACACTTTCCCACAGCAGCTATGCAAACACATTTTATACTTTCTGGCAAAATCACGTCTCTCAGAGCTGATGATAAAGACTCTTCTCAACGATCAGAGGCAAGAGCCAAAAGAAAAGACCACAGAAGAAACCAGAACCCTTCTTAGAGGAGTTCAAAGTCTTTTCTACCCACTAGCTTACAATAGGCTTGTGGAGGAGTTTCAGGAAGTTGTTGGAGGTCAAGAGAAGGGCAAGGGTTTTCTTGGTAGCACTGGAGTTTTTTGCTTGTTTTTTGTTTGGTTTATATTTCCATTCACAACAAATACAACAGGAACAAAACAAATAGAATCCAAAACTCAAGATATAAATCCAGAGCAAACTCCAGACTCCCCAAAGCCAGACTCACTCTGTAGCAACTATCTGGGGGATAGGTTCATCTAGTAGTTCCAAGCTGTGCAGGATCCAGTAGCAGAGCCATGGGCGGCTGGCATCCAGACACTGTGAGAGGGAAAGGGAGAAAACACTCTTTATTCAATCATTCCAAGACACTGCTAACAAGGCTACATGTGTCTTACTCCCTGCAGCCCAGCAAGAGGAGGAGGGTACCCTGGCTTTGGACAACAATCAGTGAATGAAGGAGGCTTTGCTTTGTAGCCTTAGCCAGAGCTAAAATAACCATCTGTGAGAAAAGGACAATGGCATTAAAAATTTTTAATTAAAACTTGAACTCAATGGGTCCCCCCCCCTCGCAGGTACCCAAAGAAGGCAAAAGAGGGAAGTTAAGGGCTGCTTGTTTTCCCAGTACAGACCCCAAGAGACACATAAACTCAGAAAAAAGTCTATGCAAACTGGGAATGTGGTTCAAGTGGCAGAGTACCTGCCTAGGAAGCACAAAGCCCTGAGCCAATAAATATTTGCGTGTGTATCTACTTGTATCAAGCACTGAAAAGACACTGGGGCATGATAATTAACAAAACTGCTTCCCAAACTGTTGTTGTGACAGAGTCTCACAGCCTGCAGGCGGGCTGGCCTAGAACTCAACTCTGTAATGCAGGCTGACCTCAAACTCATGATCTTCCTGAGTTCTGGGTTTATGGGCATATACTGCCATGTCTAGCTTGCTTAGATTCTTGAATTATTTGGGATATAGAATATATGTATAGTTAATTACATGAAGAGAGAATGAAAAATACTCCTGCACAATTGCTGCCATGGGCATCAACACTCTTGAGGAGTTGAGGTCATGGTTCAAAAAGTAGAGTTGGCCTAGCATGGGTAAAGCTTGAGGTTCAATATCGTGTGTGTGTGTGTGTGTGTGTGTGTGTGTGTGTGTGTGTGCACACACATATATAAATATATATATATATATATATATAGAGAGAGAGAGAGAGAGAGTGGCAGGGGGGAGGGAGAGAAGAAAACTAACAGGTTGACTCATTCATTGTCTCAGGAGCCATCAGGTGTCCAAAGGTGACATGTGAACAGATTTTGATCCTAATACAATCATCCGTGGCTATGAGCATTTAAGTCAAGGAGGAGACAGGTAAGAATAGTGCCCACTTTCCACCTCTACAGATTAAAAGAACTTTTTCCAGATTTGTAAAAACAGTACGTGTCAGAGCTGAGATAAGATGGTAAGTCTCTAGAGTCTCAATTCAGTGAGCTTTGACACAAGCTACCTTCTTCAAAAGGTGCTGATGGTTTGAGCTCTAACCCACTACTAGAGTTCACTCTGGTGGGTCACTGAAGACACTGCTAAGTGTTTAGCCCAAGTTTGAATCTTAGCTCTCCCTCTTACTAGCTATGTGCCTTTGAGCAAATGAATCTTGCTATGCCTCAAAGACTGATCTAGCTCATGCAGTAGACACAAGGGTGAAATGAATGGGGGAAGGAGAGTAAAGATAATGCACACTGTATTATCTTTATCAGGGCTGATGGGATCCTAATCACTGAAGAGTTCAGTCAAGGATTGAAACCAATATCCCACAGCCAAATCTAGCCCATGGATATGTTTTGTCCTTTAGTTTAACTGAAATTGGTTGCAACATTGAGCCTGATAGGAGAATGACACAGAAATCTGAATTTCTGCTTCATTTGGAAGGAAAATAAAGATCTGGCAACTTTTGGTCTACATTCCCAGATGCTGGCAACTTGGTGGGGGAGATTAAACACATGAAATCTCCCTTTCCCCCAGACCACATTCAGCTAAATTCATTTACTTTTGCCACCTAATGAGGCCCCACACCATTAGAGTTGAAAAATCCCTGCCACAAATAGTCCAATACAGAAAACTCAAAATACAACAGGTTAAAAGTGGCGCTGTTCAGTGTAAAGCAAGGCAGGAGCCTGGAGCCCCCTGTGCACAGCCACTCAGCCCTACTCCCCGCCAAGCCACCTCTCATTCCAACTACAGTACTAAGGCTCCTTTATGAACCCAACCCTAGAGATCTGAGAAATAAGCTGTAAGAGCCACGCAGCATTTGGATCCACAGTGTTAAACTGCAAGTAGTACTCTTGGGGATTCACATACTGGCCTCTGGTCAGAACAAAACTAGATCAGGTTATAGAAAAAGGGTTGACTTTGTCCTATAAGGAATGAGTAGGTCATTGACTTTTAGTTAGTTAGTTTAGTTAGTTTAGCTAGTTTAGAGAGTTAGGAGAAAGCATGGAAATCACCTGATAGCTGTGATTAAATGTGGAAAGAAAGCCCAATCCCATCTAAGGTGCTCCACTGGCTGTGGGGGGCCAACAAGACAGTAAGAGACTTAGTTCTGTTCCTTTCAGAAGTGAGGTCCTGGATGTGGGACAGCAGCCCGTTCTTGCCACAGTCATGTGGTAAATATGTGAATCTCTAACAAGTCAGGACCAATAGCCTTTGGTGTTATAGTAGGAAAAAAGATAGCCAGGTGCTGGTAATTCATGCCTATAATCCTAGCTACTCAGGAGGCTGAGATTTGAGGGTCATGGTTTGAAGCCAGTCCAGGCCAGGCAGAAAAGTCTGAGACTCTTATCTCTAATTAATCAGCAAAAAGCTGGAAGTGGAGGAGTGATTCAAGCCCTAGCCTTGAGTGAAAAAGCAAGAGTATGAGGTCCTAAGTTCAAGCCCCAGTACCAGCATAAACACACACACACACACACACACACACACACACACACACACACACACACACACACACGGAAGATGTGGCTGAGAATATGACAGAGTTTCTGAGCCACATGGTTTACCTCATAGGCATCTGTCAGTTGTCGAAGGCCTCTTTTCAGATAATGGAAGTGCTTCTCTCTCTGCAAAATAAGCCTGGAAAGACAAAGAGCCTGTAAGCCTATTCTAGTAGTACTTGTTTACACACATACACACATACATGCACACATATGCATGCACACATGCACCTGCACATCTAGCCTTCAAGACATACCTTGCAATCACTAAATGGATACCTGGCAACTTCTGAAGCCCAAAGGGCAACTGCACAAGGGAAAGGAGGCCTGCCTCTAAATACATCTGGAGTACCTGATGCTGCACTGGCCCATTTTCTGAGTTTGATCACCTGGGCTAGTGGAAAAGCTACATGCAGCCTGATAGTGGCAATCCATCCAGATAGTTCCTCCAGGATCTCAGAACAGGTTATCATCCTGGGAACAATTTATAGTGAAGCCTCCCTGCTTCCTTGACTTGGCTAGCCACTGTCATTTCAGCCATTTCTTCTGGGTCACTTCTTTGAGGGCTATATTTTCCCCCGCGTGCTCCATGGTTAGCTATCTATTATTCCTGCCCTGAAATTCCACCTCCCACATGCTGGCCAGATGATGGTGTTTGTATTCCACAGTCATTCATATCCTTGGCGCTGAGGTCAGCAACAGTGGCTTTAAGATGGAATGTGCCGCCCATGGCCACCTGCACAGGCAGAGACAGAGGCGGCACTTCTTGCTGGGTGCTGCAAAAGGGGCTGCGTGGTTATGGAAGGAATAAAAAGGAAAAGAATGTCAAGGCAGCCACTGTACCTGCTGACTAAAGGAATCACAGGAAAGAGAACCAGCCTTCTTTCTAGGTAATCATTTCAACAATTGTTTTTAGAACTCCCACTGTAACTATGGTCAGAATAAGATCATTAATGAAGACACTACCTCAACAAGCCTTTTCCAATTCAGTAATAGAAATGAGGTAAGTACAGAAATGGCTGTAAAGCCAGGGGGCAGATGACTAGATTTCATAAAGGAAAAAGACAGACTACTCCTGAGGTGAAGGGGAGGAGTATGTCTCATAAAGAAAATACTAAGCCTAAGCTGGACACTGGTGGCTCACACCTGTAATCCTAGCTATTCAGGAGGCTGAAATCTGAGGATCACAATTCAAAATGCCAGCCCAGGCAGGAAAGTCAGTGAGATTCATCTCCAATAAACCACCAGAAAACCAGAAGTGGCATGTGGCTCAAGTAGTAGAGTGCTTGCCTTGAGCTGAAGGACAGCACCCAGACCCAGAGTTCAAGCCCCACGACCATTTAAGAGAGAGAGAGGGGGGGGGAAGAAACTAAAAAGCCTGACAGGTATTGTCAGGTATCAGTGGCTCACCCCTAGCGACTTGGGAGGCTGAGGGTGGGAGGATTGAGATTTGAGATCATCCCATACATAAAGACTCCAATCTCAATAGAAAGACGCTGATTTTCTTAAAAGAAAAAAAATTTTTGAGAGGAGGGACCAAAACTAACAATGGCCAGGTGCTGGTGGGTCATGCCTGTAATCTTAGCTTCTCAAAAGACTAAGACTTGAGGGTTGAGGTTCAATGCCAACCTGAGCAGAAAAGTCTGTGAGACTCTTATCTTGAATTAACCACCAAAAAGCTAGAAGTAGAGACAGAGCTCAAGTGGTAGAGAGAGTATCAACCTTGAGGGAAAAAAAGCAAGCAAGAGTGGAAAGCCCTGAGTTTAAGCCCCAGTAACCAGCACACACAAGGAAGGAAGGAAGGAAGAAATGAAGGAAGGAAGGAAGGAAGGAAGGAAGGAAGGAAGGAAGGAAGCAAGGAAGCAAGGAAGGAAGGAAGGAAATCGTAGAATCCCAAGTATTTTAGGAAGCAGGAGATGTGAGGTTCTACATCCTTAGACAGAGATGGTGGTGGGAGTATGGAACCAACCAAAGCTAAGACTCTGAAGGAAGGAGGAGAGAGGAGGCAAGAAACTCATCTGGGACAACCTCCAATTTTTCAGGAATGAGGACCAAAATCTCAGGAGAGCTGTGGTTTGGTGGGGGAGGGATTATTTGGGAATCAATATAGGAGATGAATAAAAGGATTATAAGATAGTTAGTGAAGGCCTAGTATAAGTTAAGGGACGTGAAATTTTGGTGAAGCCAGTTAGCAGGAGCTATTAAGTGACATCTTTCCTTGGTAATTTTTTGTTGTTGTTGGATTTTTTGTTTGTTTGTTTGCTTGAATAGCATCTCACTATGTAGGCCAGACTGGCTCTCCCTCAGTTTCCCTAGTCTTGCTGGGACTCTATTAAAAGCCACAATGGGAAGCTAAGGGAAGAGCAGGTAAGCTGAGAAGGGACAACATGAAAAGAGTTAAGTGAACTGCTGAAATAGTTTATCACATGTCTGGTTGAGCATGTTGGAAGCCAAGGCCAGGATGGGTCTAATGGACAAGAAAAACCATGAAAGTCTGTGAGACCATCAATAAGGGCAAGACAGCAAAGAATTTGGAGCCAGAATTCCTGATCCCTTTCTCTCACAATACCTCTCAATCAATCCTTCTATCCTTCCTCTCCTCCTCTCTCCCTTTCATTCCCTTCTCTCTTTTTCTGGTAGTATTGGGATTTGACCTCAGGGCCAGGCACTTGCTAGGCAGATGCTTTACCACTTGAATCTGCTCCAGGCCCTCCTGATTTCTCTTAATGGACCTGTTCACAGTGTTTGCTATATATTAGTTAGTTAGTTTCCAGGGGAAAAACACCAGAATATACCAAAAGAGAACTTAGCTGCCTTGTTTAGAATGTCAGGCAAGCTAGCACTCTGTTCTTGATAACAAAAATCTGGGGATCCTAAGTAGAATGCTGGGGAAAGGAAGCAGGAGTTTGATATGGTCAGTTTCTGTCTGGCCACAAGGGACTGTTTTCTCTGCATCTTTGTCCCTTCAGTTTAAAAGAAGGATATTGCCTCCAAAGAGAAGTTGAAATTCAATCACATACTTAGTGTTCTCAAGCACCACACAGCAAAAGGCCCAGACAACCAGCCAACTAGGCACAGTTGGGTCATGCCTGTAATCCTAGCTACTCAGGAGACAGAGATCTTTAGGAATAAAATTCCAAGTCATCCCAGGCAGAAAAGTCCATGACCCTCCATCTCTAATTAACCAGCAAAAAGCTGGGCTAGAGATAAGACTGAAGTGGTACAGCCACAAGTAAGCAGGCCAAGTGAGCATAAGATCCAAAGTTCAGCCTTAGTATTAGCACAAAAAAAAGAAAGAAAGAAAGGAGGAGGAGAAAGAAGAGGAAGAGGGAGGAATGGAGGGAAGAAGGAAGGGGAAGGAGGAAGGAGAAGAGAAAGAAGCTGTTTCCTTGCCTTCTTAGCTTGTTTCTTGAAAGAAGCTTTGCATTCTTAAGGAAATCCAAAATCTCAAAGGCAAATGCTTTGCCTCAAGAGGGTAAGAGACTCCACCTTACTAAAATGGCAAGAATAGCTGAAGCCCCACCTGCTCAGGAACATCACCTCGGTCACTTTGGATTTTGTCCTGGTCCCTGGGGACAGAAGCTGAGTCAACCCTAAGATAAGCCCTTCAATAGTTCTCCTCTAACCTCAAACCTTACTGCAGACAGCCAGGTCCCAGGAGTCCTGCTAAGTTTCTTCAGCTGATTCATCTCAAGACAAACTTGATCCAAAAACCAAGGGAAAAGAAATTCCTTCCAGTAACCATTTCCACAATCAAACACTTCTTTTCACTCTCATCCATTTAATCATAAACACATACCCATATATACTAGGGTTTACTCTTTTCAACGGAAGACTACATGCCCAGTTTCTTTTGGTCAATTATTAACTACACTAAGAGTTAATATTATGGGTTGCATAATATATTTCCCCCAAATTTATGCTAACATCCTAATCTCCCATGTGACTATTTAGAAAGCGGGTCCCTTAAAGAGGCACTTAGAGGGGCTGGGAAGGTGGCTTAGTGGTATGGTGCTTGCCTTGCATGCATGAGGCCCTGGGTTTGATTCCTCAGTACTACATTAGCAGAAGTGGCGCTGTGGCTCAAGTGATAGAGGGCTAGCCTTGAACTAAAGAGCTGAGGGACAGTGCCCAGGCCCAGACTTCAGGCCCCACAACTGACAAAAAAAAGAAGAGGCACTTAGATTAATGAGGTCATATAGATGGGGCCCTAATCTCAAAAGACTAGTATCCCTACAAGAACAGGAAAAGACACCAGAGGGGTGAAAGCACATGCAGGAATACAGCATGAAGGCAGACATCTGTAACCCTGATGACAGGCCTCAGGAGAAACCAATCCTGCCAGCATGTTGATGTTGGACATCTCCAGCCTCCACCACTGTGAGAAAGTAAGTTTCTGTGTCTCAGAATACCCAGGCTGTGGAATCTGGTTATGTTAGCCCAGGCTGACTAACACTCTTACCATTCTTTTATCCTCAGTTCACCTCTAGCCAATGTTTTCTGTGTAGAAAGTCAAAGCTATAGCTCCTCCCCTTTCTCTATGAACAATACAACCCCAAAGGCAATCAGGTAGAGCAGCAGCAGAAGAACCTGCTGTCAACAAGGGCTTCAGGCCAGATGTGACAGTGCAAAAGAGGACTGAACACCAGCTTCTCAAGAGGAAGACCAAGTAGGCAAACACCTTAAAGCTACTGGAATTAACTTACAAATATTGTGTACTGGATGACCTTGGGAATTGTACTTCAGGCTAAGCTGAGTCCTGCTGACCTTTACCATGCATCCATCCCCTTCCTTCATCATGTCAAGCCTTCATTGCCTCTCATCCTCATTGCCTTCTTTGAGCTTGGTTCTCTTCAGTCTCAGGACTTTTGCACATGCTATTATTCTGTCTGGAACACTCACACTTAGGTACCCTACTTACCCCACAGGTCTCAGCTCCAATGTCATTTTCTCTGAGAGGCTGCCACTGACTTCCCAACATAAGTTAGATCCTCCCTGTGGTTCTCTCTTGGAACATCCCATTGGTAAAGTCTATTTGCACTCACCAACTTAAGGTCCACCTCCCCAATAGGGACAGGACCCAACTAGACTTGCACTAGCCTGCTATACATGCCTGTTTCCCAAGCCCAGGAGACTGGCTGACCCTCTGGAACCCCTCCTGTTACTGTTGCGGACTGAGTGAAAAAGTGGAAAGAATTCAAGTGAACACAGCAGAGAGGAATGTGTTCGTCGCTCAGTGGCATGGTTGGCTGTGACAGATGAGAGGACAAAGGATGCAGTCCATTGCTGGCTACTGGGAACTTCCTAAACCCACTAAAGGCTTCTCTAGACAAACAAGCACCAGGCACATCATACATCACCAGAGAGAAGGTGAATTTACCTGCAAGAACCCGAGAAAGACCAACAATTAAGGACTCCTTGGAATTTTAAAACTTCTAAATAGCATTTGGATATGGGAGTGGCAGAAGCCAGTGGAGGCCAAGCTCAGCCAGTGGAGCTTTAACTCAGGTACTCTGGCTTCAGAGCCATTGCAACGCAAACCTCCAGAGCTCTTTCAGGTCAGGACATTGCCAGTATTTCTCACTTCTGAGAAGCACTGGCTCACTTTTGCCTCAGAGAGAACAATTTCAAAATTATATGTGAATGTTTGTGTGTATGTCTGCACATGCATGTGCATGGACACTATTTTAGGTTTCTCAGGGAAGCTAATGAAATAAATAAAAGAGTAAATTCCTTTTTTGGGGGGGGGCGGGGTCCGGTCGTGGGCCTGAACTCTGGGCCTGGGCGCTGTCCCTCAGTTCTTCAGCTCAAGACTAGCGCTCTACCACTTGAGCCACAGCACCATTTCTGGCTTTTTTTTTTCTGCTTATGTGGTACTGAGGAATCAAACCCAGGGCGTCATGCATGCAAAGTAAGTGCTCTACCACTGAGCCACCTTCCCAGCCCTAAAAGAGTAAATTCTTAAAGAGTATGGAATAAAAGTACAAGGCGGAAAAAATAAACTTTCATAGGAAAGCAAGATGCTGACAAACAAAACCATTAAAACTATAGTCAAGCAGGGTGCCAGTAGCTCACATCTGTAATCCTAGCTACTCAGAAGACTGAGATCTGAGGATCATGGTTTGAAGGCTTCCCAGGCAGAAATGTCCAGTTAATAACCAAAAAACTGAAAGTGGAGCTCTGGTTCAAATGGCAAAGGGCTAGGTAGCCTTTAGCAAAAAAGCTCGGGGACAGTGTATTTAGGCCCTAAGTTCAAGCCCCAGGTAACAAAAATAAAAACAACAACTATGGTCAAAAAGCTTCTTGAGGGTGGGAAGGTGGCTCAGTGGTAAAGCGCTTGCCTTGCATGCCTGAAGCCCTGGGTTCGATTCCTCAGCACCACATAAGCAAAAAGAAAAAAGCCGGAAGTGGTACTGTGGCTCAAGTGGTAGAGTGCTCGCCTTGAGCTGAAGAGCACAGGGACAGTGCCCAAACAGTGCCCAAGCCCAGAGTTGAAGGCCCACAACCAACAAAATAAATTAATTAAAATTTAAATTTAAATTAAATTTAAAAAAAAAAACCTTGGGACTTACTACCTCACTGACTCCAGGAATGGATGTAAATCTCACAGCCATAAAGAAAAGAAAATCAGGCTGGGAAGGTGGTTCAGTGGTAGAATGCTTGCCTTGCATGCATGAGGCCCTGGGTTCCATTCCTCAGCACCACCTAAACAGAAAAATCTGGAAGTGGCACTGTGGCTAGAGTGCTTGCCTTGAGCTGAAAAGCTGAGGGTCAGCACCCAGACCCAGAGTTCAGGCCCCATGACCAACCAAAAAAAAAAAAAGAATCAATTCATGTTTAAGAAAGCAGGATAGAGAATTAGAATGACTGAAATCTATCTGCAATCCTATGGAATGACTCCAAGTGAGTCACAGGCTCATACACACATATACACACAAAAAATCATGGAATAATTTCTGGGATCTTGGGGGTGGGGGTAGGGGTGTGTGTGGGGAAGGGAAAGGGTAGTCATTATGAAATGTATCCACATTCATATCCAGCCTTGAAACTTCAGTGAAATCAAATTTGGCTTTGGCTCTGGAAGGCTGTTGAAGTATCACTGCAGGTACCCTGGGCCTGTATGTGGTCAGAGTTCCTGGCAGTGTACAATTCTGTCACATCTGATCAGCATCATGACCTCAGAAACACAAATACCCAGCCACCTAGATTTATTGTTAAAGTCTAAAGATGCACTTTAGCTAACAGTGAAGTTTGTTCCTACAAAATGTTGACTACTAAACTGTAAAATATTAAAATTATGTTAATAATTTGAAATTCTGATTAATTTTCATGTTTTTGTTTTGTTGCAGTGCTAGGAATCAAACCCACAGGGAGCTCTCCCCAAGCTAGCTTCCCAGCCTCCAGATTTATTCTGATATCCAAGAAGTTTATTCTATGATGATGTTTTGCTTCAGCCTTATATTGCTACACACACACACACACACACACACACATATTCAGCCACCATGTAATATTAATTAGCAGGCTAATTAGCATCCTTTAAAACAACAAGTTTTATAGGCAATGATGATAAAATACAAAGCTGTCATATTCCTGAAACAAACCCAGAGTCCAGATCTATTCTATCTCACGGGGCCCAAAGCTCCAAAGGAGTACTTGTTTTCCACCCACATCTGAATTTTTTATTGTCCTCAACCGTAACTCCTAAACAACTTTTTCCAGACTGTAGCCTCAGACTCACTTACCTATCAGCACAAAGGAAGGAGTATAAGGGACTACTCTGATGGTGAATGAAAAAGGAATAACTATTAATCATAGGTCCCTTGTGGGAAGAGAGGCCATGTGTCCACAGAGCTCCAGGCAGGAGACAGTGACTCAGAGCCCACGCAGGTGAGTCATTTGGGGCCCCTAAATCAATCATTCCCCTTACCATCAACAAGTCTCGCAACCACTGGGAAAACTGAGGGGTACTGGCTTGTGCGTGGGGGTAGAAGAAGCACCATCGATGCCATTATATCCAACCAGCTCATTCTCCCACACTGCTGACATAAATGGTATCATTTGCTAACTCCAGCTGCAGCTTCTAACAAGAGAAATAGAATAATCATCTTGCTTAGGCCTGAGCTTTGAGATAATATAATGTAAAGCTTTGGTCTACAAGTCTGGGGAAGATTCCTCATTGGCTGATATTTTCCTCTTTGCCTTCCCAGTGAAGAAACAGTCTTTAGAGATAAGCACCTGCCTGTTTTTTTTTTTAATAAGTGCTTTTCCCTGTTTTCTGCAGTGGATAATCAGAAAGGGATGGGGTGGACAATCAAGGAAATGGTAGCAAAATAGAATGATAGGAAAAAGGATACAAAGGTAGCAAGGTTGGAACCATGTATAATGTTCAAGTACAGAGAAGCACCCAAAGACTTAGTTAAAGGCTCAAGAAGTCAAGAGTCTTCTTGAAGGAGGTGAGGCTGGACTCAAGACCCTACAGCATCCTAACCAGACTCATCACCATGCTAAATCTGGAGAGTATCAAAAAAGAAGTATTCTAAGATAAAGTGATGGCCACACAGGATTTTGGGCTATGAATTAATTCTAATGACTGAGAATGCAACATTGGATGATTCTGGAAAAGCAATTTGTGACAGGAAGAGAAATACTAATAAGGGGATGAAGCAACTTTATGAAGTTCTAGTGTGAGACTTTCCAGGATACTGTGAAAAAGTGAAAATAAAAGTTCAGATTTTCTTCTAATTGTTTTAGATTTTCTGATCCAAGAGAGCTTTGAAGACTTCAACTTGCTAAGCACTCCCACCTCCCCAACCAAAAAAAAAAAAGTTGTATTTCTCATTAGGAATTCATCCTTGGAGATGTAGCTCATTGGCAGAGCACTCATCTAGCACAGGATGGATTCCAGCCCCAGCATTCAATCAGCATCATCTATCCTTTGTCCCTTCCTGGCCTGTTTCTCAAGTTTGAGTGAGGGTTCTCCTCTGAACACCAAAGCAACAGGATATAACTTATCCAAAACCTGACTCTCTTTCCTACCTTCAGACTTCAGAGGTCAGGACTCAAGGGACACCCCTCGGTGGCTCAGACCAAGTGGAGCATCTCCTTATACACTGTTCCAGTTGAGGCTAAGTTTGGGGTCACAAGCATGCCCAGGTAGCCACAAGTCATCAAGCATCACTCTGGCAGCAGACACAGGGAGCACCCTGTGGTTAGATAGGCACAAGGAGGAAAAATAATAGGCTCTCATCCAGGTGGTATTCTCCCAGGCCCCTCAATCTCCTACTACAGCTTACCTTGGTACAAGGTGGTTGAACTTATAAGAACTGAAGACTTCCTGGATCTTTTCTTCTACTTTGGCCTGGTAAGATGCAGGACATGGAAGAGAGAAAAAATAATATAAATGACAATACTGCTAACTTTTTCTTCTCATTGCCACAAATGCCCACTGGATATAGTGTTTTCTGATTGCACAGTATTTAAGACTGGATTCAGAGACTTAGAACAAGAGGCAGGTAGAGGTAAGTGGTCCCATGTACCATATTGTCATCGCACGAGTTTCTCCAGTACCCTAATCCAAAGTGGAACAGTGGCTACCTATTTCAAGTTGTCCTTGCATTTCTCTCTTTTTTTTTTTTTTGTCCAGCATTGCAAATTCTAAAGAAAAGCTTAACCTAAAGCTGAGTACTGATAGGTCACATCTGTAATTCTAGCTACTCAAGAATCTCAGATTCAGGGGCTGGGAGGTGGCTCAGTGGTAGAGCGCTTGCCTTGCAAGCATGAGGCCCTGGGTTCGATTCTTCAGCAGCACATAAGCAAAAAGAAAAAAGCCGGAAGTGGTGCTGTGGCTCAAGTGGTAGGACGCTAGCCTTGAGCTGAATAGCTGAGGGACAGTGCCCAGGCCCAGAGTTCAGGCCCCACGACCGGACACCCGCCCCCCAAAAAAATCTCAGATTTGGGCTGAGAAGGTGGCTCAGTGGTAGAGTGCTTGCCTTGCATGCATGAGGCCCTGGGTTAGATTGCTCAGCACCACATAAGCAGAAAAAAAAGCCAGAAGTGGTGCTGTGGCTCACATGGTAGAGTGCTAGCCTGAGCTGAAGAGCTCAGGGACAGCATCCAGACCCAGAGTTCAGGCCCCATGACTGACAAAAAAAAGAAAATCTCAGATTTGAGGATCGCAGTTTAAGGCTAGCCCATATAGGAAAGTCTGGGAGAGTCTTATCTCTAATTATCCATAACAAAAGCTGGAATTGGAACTACAGCTCAAATGGTGAGATAGCACCTAGGATCTGAGTTCAAACCCCAGTATCTGCATAAAAATAAATAAAAAAATAAAAAGCTGAATCTAAATGATAACCTAAAAAAAAAAGAATGGCAGTCCCTCTGCAGGACTAGGCAACAATGACTTTCTTTTTTTTTTTTTTTTTTTTGGGGGGGGGGTCCGGTCGTGGAGCCTGAACACTGGGCCTGGGCGCTGTCCCTCAGCTCTTCAGCTCAAGGGTAGTGCTCTGCCACTTGAGCCACAGCACCACTTCCAGCTTTTTTCTTTTTGCTTATGTGGTGCTGAGGAATCGAACCCAGGGCCTCAGGCATGCAAGGCAAGCACTCTACCACTGAGCCACTTCCAAGCCCAAATAAACATGTTTTCTTTTTCTTTTTCTTTTTTTTTTGTCAGTCATGGGGCTTGAACTCTGGGCTTGAGTGCTGTCCCTGGGCTCTTCAGCTCAAGGCGAGCTCTCTACCACTTGAGTCACAGCGCCACTTCCAAACAATGACTTTCTTATAACAAGGCTCTGTCTGACCCATCCTGATAGAATGAGCAACCTGACCACATCCATAACTGAGATTGTTTAATAATTATGCTTACATATACCCCTTCTTCCAACATTTAAACCTAATATACCTGGAAGATGGGCTTACTTTGCATCTTCCTAAAATATGCCTATGTACCAAACTATTACCTTTTTCTGGACTTATCACTACTAGTCTATTTGTCCTATTGGTCCGGTTAGGAATCTCCCATGTATATATGGTGTGTGTGTGTGTGTGTGTGTGTGTGTGTGTGTGTGTGTGTGTGTGTGTGTGTTAATAAGCTTCCTTCTATTTTCCATTTGATAATCTGTTTTTTGTTATAGGGTACCAGACAAGAACTTAAAACAGATCATTATTGGGCTGGGAAGATGGCTCAGTGGTAGAGTGTTTGCCTTGCATGTGTGAGGCCCTAGGTTCCATTCCTCAGCGTCATATAAAGCAGAAAAAGTGGGAAGGGGCACTGTGGCTCAAGTGGTAGAGTGCTCCCCTTTCTGAGGAGCTGAGGGACAGCGCCCAGGCCCAGACTTCAGGCCCCACAACCGACAAAAACAAACAAAAAAAAACAATTATTTTCCTTCTCTGCATTTGAAAGAAATGTCCCTTTGTATTGGTAGTGCTAAGGATCAAACCCAGGGCCTAGCATGTGGTAGGCAAGTACTACAACTGAGCTACATCCCCAGCCCTGAAAAACCGTTCTGGTTGGCTCTGTGAAGTTGGTTCCTCCCATAAAACAAAGGACCTCAGAAAGTCACAAAAGAAGCTGAATGTGCCTGTTGGCCAAACCTCAAGGTTATCTCATAGTAGGTTCAGCAAGGATAAAGGGATGGTAATGAGGTAGGGGACTAGTTAGCAAGTTACAACGCTCTAAATTCCTAAGAGCAGGAGTAGGGAACCTTCAGCTTATGGGCTGTATCATACCTCAAAATCATTGCTTATGTGGTAGACAGATACTAATGCTTCTTGCATGGTTCTTATCAGTTGCTGGAAGCCATCTGCCTGTATTGGCAATTCTATATAGCCTAAAATGATGTTATATCTAAATGCCCATGGCACTCCTCTCTGAGATATATATTGATCTCCCTCCTTGGAAATATTTATTTTTTTGCTCTCCTCCCCCAGGCTGGAGAAGAATGTAGAGCCTCAAGTAAGCTAGATAAGTGCTGTAACACTAAACTAATCCCAGCCTTCCCCTCCACCCTGCCCAGGAAACATTAAAAAAGGGGGGGGGGGTATTATTTCAAAACACCCGGAGTTAGAGCTTCTAGTCCTATTGACAAATGTGCAAATTTATTTGTGATGATGAGAGAAGCAGGGATATTAATCATATAAAGTGGCAGCTAATGTAAAATTCATTTATATTTGGTTTCAGAATATGCTTTAGTGTTTTGTTGGAACCTAAGTTTGAGGGAAGTTCTGGTTAAGAATTTGTAATATTTCAAGAAACAGACTGAAGCCATCACGAGAACATGACTTAGAAGAATAGAACGTCGTACCAGATCCCTCTTGATGCTTTTTCCATTCCAGATACTCATATGGAACTAATATAAAGCACCAGCCAAATCAGAACACAGATGGTAGGTTTCCATCATGCTTTCCTTAGCTGCAAACTGAATGGGACAGGAAGTTATATGTCATAAAGCATATGTCAGCAAGGATGTTAAATAAAGATTTGCCTATGACATGGTTATATGTAAGTTGACAAATTCTGAATAAAACAAAACTGAAACAAAAACACATCCATTACCAAAGACAAACCTATTCAAATCCATATTAAAAATATTCAATGGATAGTGGAGGGCCAGGTAAGATGGTCACTTTTTCCTTCCCTTTTCTCTGCAGTCATAGCTAACCTACAATATTTGCCTTTCAGTGTTCAATTTTAAATCATATTTCCTTCCCGAACTGCCCTTCCCTATTTGTATTTCTTTTTTTTTTGGGGGGGGGGGCCGGTCGTGGGGCTAGAACTCTGGGCCTGGGCACTGTCCCTCAGCTCTTCAGCTCAAGACTAGCACTCTACCACTTGAGCCACAGTGCCACTCCTGGCTTTTTTCTTTTTGCTTATGTGGAGCTGAGGAATCGAACCCAGGGCCTCAGGCATGCAAGGCAAGTGCTCTACCACTGAGCCAACTTCCCAGCCCTCCCTATTTGTATTTTTATCTACAGTTAAATTGCTCTCACATTCACATTTCTTCCACCATCCCTAATCCTTCCTCATTACTTATACTTTTAGCTGGTAACTAAGTTGGCCAAATATTATTGATTTTTCTGTGTTTTGTTTCTTATTTTGTGTTTTATTTTTGGTTTGGATGGATATGTGCTTATCTGTTCAATTTTCTTCATCTCTTCTTTCCCTTTCTCAACACAATTTAACTAGATATTTTCTACTTGTCTCCCTCATGGTTTTTTGTTTTTTTTTTTTCATTTACCCTTCCTTTTTTCTTTTTCTCTCTTTTTTTTTGGTTCCAGTCTTGGGACTTGAACTCAGGGCCTGAGTGATGTCCCTGAGCTTATTTGTTCAAAGCTAGTGCTCTACTACTTGAGTCACAGCTCCACTCTTGGGTTTGGGCTGTTAGCTGGAAAGTCTCATGGACTTTTCTGCCCAAGCTGGCTTTGAACCACAATTCTCAGATCTCAACTTCCTGAGTGAAGTCAGATTACAAGTGTGAGCCATACCATCCAAAAACCCTTCCTTCGGGCTGGGAAGGGGGCTCAGTGGTAGAGTGCTTGCCTTGCATGCCTGAGGCCCTGGGTTCGATTCCTTAGCACCACATAAGCAAAAAGAAAAATGCCGAAGTGGCACTATGGCTCAAGAGATAGAGTGCTAGCCTTGAGCTGAAGAGCTGAGGGACAGCGCCCAGGCCCAGAGTTCAGGCCCCACAACCGGATCCAAAAAAGAAAAAAAAAACCCTTCCTTTCCAGGTTAACTGCCACCTCTTCCTTATATAATCACCTAGTTTGTATTATTCATTAGTGTTATCTTCCCTATTTCTTTCCATTACTACCTTGGTTAACTAAAGTCCTCCTAGATCATGAACAAACATCTTTGCTTCTATTTCATCTAGATACTGGATAGTAACTGGTCTTCATTAGGGATTGCCACACACAAGGTTCTGATTTATCAATTGCAATAGCTTTTGCAGCAAAGCTTCCTCACCCTGAGTAGAAAATAAGTTTACATACAGTGTAGTGGCACTGAAAATGAATGCTTGGCTGCTAAGCCATACTCCTGCAACTCAGTAACAGGGAAATACACAATATCCCAGCCACCATCTAGTTTTAAGTTATTAACTTAAAAGACACGGGAGATTGAAAAGTGACCAGATACATAAATCACAGCACATAAATGAATAAACAAATGTGCTTCCCTCAAAAGCCAACAACTTACAATAAAGGTCATAAGTGACAGTGAAGAAAAAGAATTTTCAAACAATTGGTTCAAAAACCCAGTAACAAGGATGACCAATAAAATTAAGGATGTATAAATAGCTGAACAAATTCAGAGAGGAGACAACTGAGGTCAAAGAGAACTTGAAACTCTGAATGAAATAA